TATATATATATATATATATTACTTAGGAGGCCTCGTCGCCTGGTTGAGAAGCACTGACCTAGTGTCAATCATGCTGCATTACTGCAGGTGTGTGTGTGTGTGTGCAGGTGTGTAATCATATTTTGGGGACAAATCTGCACCTAGAGGTGAGCTAAATTGAGTATGTCCTGAACTGTAAAAAATGGTAGAAAAATAAGATATGTAAAAATGCAGAAATATTTGTGTAAGGATTTGGTTACAGTATAGCAGAAGTCTATGGAATGTCCCCATTCAGAAAATATGCAGTAAATGTGTGTGTGTGTGTGTGTGTGTGGCAATACCAACACTAACAAACTGACTTAACAAAACAAAGAGAAACACGCTCATCATCACCATCATCATCATGATGAATGATATCAACAGGAATGAGCGGCAGTGAGGATGACAGGATCGATGAGCTCTTACCTCGTACTCCTCTTTGAAGCCGTAGCCCTCGGCGCATTTCATCTGCGTGATGTGCTGCAGCAGGTCGGCCACACGGATGGCGGGATGCAGCTGGCCCGTCTGGTACGGCACGTCCACGGCCTCGCGCTTGCACAGCGAGTGTGTGTGTGACGAGTGTGTGTGCGTGTGCGACTGCACCAGGCTGCTGGTGTCGCTGGTCAGGGTTTGAGTCTCGTCTGCAACACAGGACAGAAAACACACGCGATGACGTCGCGGCAGTGAAACACGTCACGCTTGCAATCACACTTACGCTTGCTTTTACAGTGACTTCAGTCACATGACCTCGCAAACGGGCCCTAACAAATTGAAATGAGCTGAAATGTAGTCTTAAATTGAAAGAATACTTCACTAAAAATAAAAATGCGTCATTATTTATTCACACTCACATCATTCCAAACCTGCATGCTGTGATATCAATATGCGAAATAATGTTAATAATATAAATAAATTATAATATATTAAATATATATTATAATACAAATTTTTGATATAATAAATATAAGTATATACATTTAAGTAATAAAAAATCATTTATTCTGTGAAAAAAAAAAAAAAAAAAAAAAAAAAAAAAGGGAACGATTCAAACAGTGTAAATATGGGTCTTTAAACTGGATGTAGCTGGCTTAAGCTGGTCTTCCAATCTGGCCGGCTAAAACGTGGTCAAAACTCCTCTAAAACCAGCCTGTTAAACCAGCTAAGACCAGCCAACCAGCTTAGAATGGTTTTAGCAATTTTTTCAGCAGGGATATGGTGCTCTATGTAAGAGAGAGACTGAAATTTAAGCAGTTATTCAGTGAAAATACAGAAACATAACAGAAAAGTAACACCTTACAGGTTTGGAACAACATAAGAGCAAGCAAATAAAGACAAAAAGTAAATTTTTGGATAAACTTCTCTGTTTGAACAAGTAAGGCAAGACACTACAGGTGAAAAGGATAGAAATTTAAGTAATAAATATCACCATAGCAGTTTTTTTATAAGTATTATTGAGATACTAGTATAGTTTTTGCTAATATTTTGAATTATACTTCATTTTTATATTTTCTGCTTTCATGTTAACTTTAAAGGTTTTGTAATTTTGTAGTGCTTTCACATTTTTGTTAGTTTCTGTATATAGCTTTTTGTTAGTTAGTTTTTATTTTATTATATAATTGTTTTTAATATGTATTAATTTGCATACATTTCCAGAACATAAATCTGAATATTGGATAAAGCCAGGATCAAAATTCTCATTTGATTTTATTGAGATATTAGAGTTAAAGGTTTTTACTGAGGTGATTTTGGAATTCTCTTTTTATCACTCCATAAATCAGAAAATACTGTCAACAGACAGAAAAATAATTCATTTTCGCCATGTTTTTAGGACTAAAATGTTATACAAATCAGTGTGAATTATATATAAACAAACCCCTCAGTAAAACACTTCAGAATATAGATAGGAATAAAACTCTAAATTTTGGTGTATGTAAGTGTTACTGAAGTGGAGATAAAACCTCACCACCTTTAAAGATATGCATATTTACCATGTTTTTAGGAGTACAACGTTATATAAATCAGAGTGAATGATATATAAACAAACCCCTCAGTAAATACCTTCAGCATATAGATAGGAATAAAACCCTAAGTTTTGGTGTATGTAAGTGTTACTGAAGTGGAGATAAAACCTCACCGCCTTTAAAGATATGCATTTTTACCATGTTTTTAGGAGTAAAATGTTGTATAAATCAGTGTGAATAATATATAAACAAACCCCTCAGTAAATACCTTCAGAATATAGGTATGAATAAAACCCTAAGTTTTGGTATGTGTAAGTGCTGCTGCAGAGGAGAAACAAACTCATTGCCTTCAAAAATGTGCATTTTTACCATGTTTTTAAGAGTAAAATGTTGTATAAATAAGTGTGAATGATATATGAACAAACCCCTCAGTAAAAACCTTCAGAATATAGATAGGAATAAAACTGTAAGTTTTGGTGCATGTAAGTGTTACTAAAGTGGATATAAATTTTTTTAAAGATATGTATTGTAACTGAAATCTACAGACGCAAATAGATAAAGTGCAATAATATAAACACTTGTGTGTTTTGACCAGTGCAATGTTTCTCCTGTAGTGTCTTTGCCTTAATTGCCTGTATTTTTCCAGTTAATCAATCAGTGTAAAAGAAAGCGCTTGATTGGTTTCCCATTCATTGGCGATGGATGATCATGACACGACGTTGCAGGAAGGGTGGATGAGTGGATGTGGAGGGAGGGATCGATTGACTGCCCCGCTCGTTCATTCCTTCGTGAAATATCACGTGATATAACTTCAAAGAAACACGGCTAGAATCGGCCTGTGTGCCTGTTTCGCCCTGATCTGAGATCTGCCATGAGGCGTGGGTGCTGTCAATCAACAGCAAAGCATGAGCGGATAATCGGACGTGTGATGACGGATGTTCAGAGCCACACGGGCCAAAGCACAACAAGCCAAAGCAAAGAGAGCAGAAACACGATGCAGACGCACACGGGAGGAGGATGATGATGAGGATGATGATGAAGATGCGGTGGACGAGTGATGCTGTAACACGCCAATGGAGGGAGGAGGACGTGACTCTAGTGAAACACACAACCTCTGTCACGCTGATGAACTTACCATTAATGGGGACTTTTTAAGCAGATACATTAGAGGTTAAACGAGAGAAGAGAGAGACAGAGAGAGAAGAGAGAGAGAGAGAGAGGAGACAGGGTATAAGCAACAATTACACCAAAGAGAACTAGCAGAGCTCTGAGCAGTCGCAGGGCGATCAGGGATCCGGGTGTTATGGGACTCAAATCACAATGAAGGAGAAAAATGAGTTTCAAAACAAAAGAAGAAATGCAAATAAAACTGATGAACATTGCAGTTGCTTCATGGAGATCTACAGAGCAGCTGCCTCGATCGAGTGTGCTGAGGAGGTCAAAGGTCACACGGAGGCCAATCAGACTCGTCATTTGTCAAATTACATGACCTCACCCTCAAAAATGATCAACAAAAATACGGCTTTAATGGGGATAAACATGATCTGTGCTGAACTCGATGTGTTTTGTGCATTGAACTACTGGCTTCGAGACAATAAATGCATTTCATTAGAATTTAAAATTAAGATCATTAAAAATATAACCAAAATAACTAACTACATAAATGAATATTATTATTATTTTTATAAATTGTAAAAATAGAAATCTAATAAATGTATTAAATTATAAATTATAATTAAAAATAAAATTATAATAAAATACAATACAGAATAAAATAAAACAATATGAAAAATGAATAAAAACAATAATAAAATCATTAATAGCTAAATAATTAAAAATATAAAAACAGAAATATATTAAATTAATTAAACTATAAATGAAAATGACGATAAACAAACAAACAAACAAATAGAAATACAATAAATGCATTAAATTATAAATTACAATGAAATCAAATAAATGAAACATTTCAAAATAATGAATAAAAATGATACAAAAATAGAAATATAATAAATGCATTAAATTATTAATTACAATTTAAATAATAATACATAATTAGTTATAAATTAAAATTTTAATAATTATAATAAACATAATAATAATAATAATAATAAAATAGAAAAATGGAAATATGTATTAAATGATCAATTAAAATGATTACAAATATAATAAAATTAAACATAAAAATAAACAAAAATGAATAAATAAAATAATAAATAGCAAAAATGTTAAATATAGAAAAACAAATATAATAAATGCATTAAATTATAAACAAACAAACAAATGGCAGTGCTTGATTTGAAGACTTTTGGACAATAAAGACTTGATGTCCAGTGTAAAATCTACATCGTTAGGCGCAAGCGGTTGAGAAGTGTTGAAGCAGCTGATTGTGCTTCTGCTCGTGTTGAACATCAGCATCATCTTCACTGCTCCATAAACCCTGGTGTGCCGGAGGTGAAGCTTTGCTGTTTTTCCCCCGTTTTATTGTGTAATGTAAACCTGTTCCCGCTCGAGCGATCATTTACACGTGCCGTTAGCCGAGAGTCATTCATATTTAATACGCCGCTCTGAGCTCTTATTTTTCATCACATTATGTTTCAATTAAATTCTCAGGGCCGACTCTGGGGTACGGAGCGCTTTAGATAAATAGGGTGTAGAGGTGCCGCGAAAATGAGACAAAACCTGCTTTATTATTCCATTTTATCATAGAATAAACCAATAAACAGCTGCAAAATAAGAAAAATAAAAACAAGTAGGTCAGAAAGAGTTGCTAAAGGCAGAAGAAACATTAGAGAGAATAGCAGAGAAGCAAAGAAACACTGGAGTGGATGTAGAGAACGAGCCGTCCTTCTCCAAAAACTACAAAAAACATCCCGAGGGGAAAGTCGACACCGGCAGAGCCGTCTCCACATTTACACAGTAAAGCATTCGCTCATGAACTGCATCAGTCGACCTGAAGAACCACAGAGCGATGCATTTATGTTTGCATTCATGCATTCGCCAGGCGCTTTTATTGCATTTATCATTTTATCAGGTCTTCAGTTCTAATGCAACAGCATCATCATCAGGCATAGTTTAATATACCCTAAAACTTTTAAACTTGCACTCCTCACTGCTTTCATAAAAATAAAATAAAATTAAAAAAATTATGATTTCTTGATTATACATTTTTATTTATTATTAAACAATATTTATTATTAATTAATTAATTAATTAATTATTTGACTTGATTAATACATAGATTTATTATTATTATTATTATTATTAAATTAAAAATATAAAATAAATATATTAATAGTAATTAACATAATACATTAATTTAATACATATTTTAATAAAGTAATAAATACATTTTTAATTATGTTTAAAATATAATTTATTTTAAAAGAATATAAACTAATTGAAATAATAATATTAAGAAGAATAAATTGAATTAATTAAATAATAATTTAAATTGAATTAATTAAAATTTGATAACTGATTATTACATAATTAAATTAAATGTATTACTTTATAAATTTTTATTTATCAATAAATTATTATTATGAATGTAACTAATAATATAGTAGTAGTAGTAATAATAATACACTTAATTTGATTTCATCTTCTAGTATGGTTTGTTTAATCCATTTTTGGATGCTTTTTTAGAGTTCTTCTGACTGAATTGAGGGGATTGATTTATTAACATCACCGCTCAAGTGTGTTGAATGTGCAGCTACAGCATCATCCATCCACTCCTCCACATCCAGTCCACATGTCTGTCCATGCAAATGAGATGTCAGACAGGAAGTGACATCACACGCACGAGGCGCGATGCGGATGGGATGGCGTGAAGGCGGAAGCCAAAGGAAGAGAAGCGACAGACAGACAGACAGACAGACGAGTGAGCTGATGAGAAGCTATAAACCAAGCCAAATCAAACCAACATGATGAGGAGACACACAGACGCGGCTCACCTAAGATCGCAGTGGGAACGAAGGGGTCTGGAGGAGAAGCACAGAAACACAAACCATCAGTCCGTCTGAATGAACAGCTTTCTAGCAGATCTCAAAGCTTGACTGTCCAGCACAAGATATGTCCTGCAGTGTTTCTGCTATAATCTTGATCAAATTACTTGTTTTTATAAACAAACAGAAAAATCATTTCTTGATTTTAAGCATTGTTTAGCATTTTAATTAAGTAAAATGTATTATTGTTAATTATTTTATTATTATAATATTATATAATTACAAACATATTTTATATTTGTGATTAATAATAATAATAATAATAATAATAACAATAATAATAGAGTCATAAAAAAACATCCCATTCAAATTCTTCATCTTTCTGCAGATCAACTAGGTAATGCTAGCAAATATTAACTAACTACCAGAGTTAATCTGGAATGCATTTGTGCTGTTGTCATTTTACAATTAAACAATTAGATTTGTTTTTAATCAAATATTTTGATTTGAATAAAATGTACAACGTTAGGGTTACATTTACCGGAGATGCAAAATGTTTACCGGTGGGGTCAGAAAAATAAACTTAATTCAAAGAGAAAACATGTTTATTTTTCTGACCCCACCGGCAGACGTTTGTTCACGTTTTAATCATAAACTCGTTTTATTTTGAGCAAATTCTGAGAAAACAAGACGGAAACTCTGAGGAGGAGTGTGAGCTGTGTGGTTTGTGTTGAGTGAGCTCAGAGGTGTTTCTGCCGCATGCACACGCGTGTGGAGTGTGTGTTACCTGGGTAATACGTGTTTGGGATGCTACTGCTCAGCGTGTTCGTCTTCACCGTCACAGAACACGGAGAAGATCCGGCTTCACACAGAAAAACACCAGAACAACACACATTACTAGAGCTGAAACTATAACCATCACTAACCTTTCTGTCAACTGAAATAAAGGTGAAAACAAACAACAACAAAAAATCAATAAATATTTTAAATATTATTAGTGCTGGGCAACGATTAATAGCGATTAATCCAAAATAAAAGTTTTTGTTTACATAATATATGTGTGTGTACTGTGCATATTTATTATACACACATATGCATGTATACATTAAGAAAAATACATTATGTTTATATATTAAATACATAAATTATATGAATATAAATATACACATGTAAATATTTTCAAAATATATACTGTATGTGTGTGTATTTATATATATATACACATCATAAATATACACAGTACACACTCATATATTATGTAAACAAAAACTTTTATTTTGGATGCGATTAATCGTTTGACAGCACTAAATATTATTAATAAATAAGTAAACTAAATAAAAATTGAAAACATTGCCTTGAAATAATTAAGTTGAAGCACTAAAATGACTAAATAGAAATGAATAAAAATTAAAACTAATAAACTAAAACTAAAATAAATTAAGTATATAAAAATAAGTATAAAAGCACTTAACCAAATTACTAAAACTGAAAATATGAAATAAAAGCCAATTAAAAATATTATTAAATGTTTTATATAAATAATACTAGTTTAAATAATGCTAAAATAACACTGGCACACAGCTCCATGTGTTGTCCAGCTGTCATGACATTCATGCCACAATGAAAAACATACTAATGCTCTTAAATATTAAACGGGTTTAATTCTGCACATATTTCTTTGTATCCTGGGATAGATGCGCAGCTGTCAGCAGCACCTGCTTCTGCTGTATGTGAGTGTGAGTGTGTGTGTGTGTGTGTGTGTGTGTGTGTGTGTGTGTGTGTGTG